ACTGATGTCTGCACATATCTTTATTATTTTTCCTTTTGCATGTTTTGGTTTAGCTTTTTTCCCCTCTATTTTTAAAGTTTAAATCAAAGATAATTAGAAATCATTCTATTTTTGATGCTTATTCTTGAAAGTGTAGTGTTTGGAAAATTTCAAGGCTGTCTTTATGTTCTTGGTTATAAAACTCTATTTTCAGCTTTTTTGCCTATGATCACAAAATATACTTAGAAGGTAAATAATAATAATAATAATGTTATTATTATTATTATTATTATTATTATTATTTTGAGATTTGTTCTGTGGCCTTGAACAGTTTCTATTTCTGCTGTTCCACAGGCCCTAAGGAAGAATCTCTTATGCTAATTTTGGGTGTTGTGTCATCTAAATGGCCAGGAAGTTAGGAAGGTAGCATTGTTTAGAAATTCTATCTCTTGCCAGGCATGCCTTTAGTCCCAGCGCTCAGGAGCCAGAGGCAGGAGGATCTCTGTGAGTTCGAGGCCAGCCTGGTCTACGAAATGAGTTCCATGGCAGCCAGGGCTTTCTATCTCATTTTTCATTTTTTTTCATCTTTAAAAAAATTAGTGATATGAATAGTGTTAAAGTTCCCAGCTCTGATTGTGAATGTTGATTTTCCCTGGGCACTCTGCCCTACTGCCTTATCTCTGGACACTCTGTTGTTAAGTACTATATATTTAATACTGTTTTATCTCTGGGTGCATTGATCTCTTAATTATTCAGTGTCCCTCTTCATTCCTGACACTTATTGTTCTGATAAATACAAATAAGAGACTATGATAGTAGCATAGGCACCATTGCATTCTTAGTGTTTATACGACATAATTTTGTTACTTAAACATTTTATACTGTTTTTTTGTTTTTTGTTTTTTTTGAGACAGGCTCACATCCTGTACCCAAGCTGGGCTAGGATTTGTGTCAGTCCTGCCTCAGGCTTCTCAGAGCTGTTTTTTTTACAGGTGAGGCTCCAGCTCTGTTGGCTCCTATATTCATCTCTAGAAAGCATCTAGAGACTTGCAGAAAACACATGCAGAGTGTTTTCTGTCTCTTGTGCTCATGCAGTTAAAAAAAAAAGTCTTTATTTCTGTGTGTGTGTGTGTGTGTGTGTGTGTGTGTGTGTGTGTGTGTGCGCGTGCGCGCACACTTGCTTTTCTGTATGTGCAATGCCCATGGAGGCCATAAGAGGGCGTCTAGCCCCATATTGTTTCTCTTAATGTAACTATTTCTCAACAATTAAGAATACTTACTGCACTTGAAAAAACCTGAGGTCAGTTCCCACTACCCGTATCAGGTGGCTCACAACAGCCTTTAATGCTGCTCTAGGGGATCTGACACCTTTTCTGGCCTGTGTGGGCAGCTGCACGCACATATACATAAAAATAAAATCCTGCACACACACACGACTTTGTGCTCATAAACGTACTGTCCAATCTTAAAAGAGAGAGAGATCATTAAGAATTATTACAGAGGCAGGTGGATGTCTGTAAGTTCGAGGCCAGCATGGTCTATAAAGCAAGTCCAGGATAGCCAGGGCTCTGTTACACATAGATACCCTGTCTCAAAAAAGACAAAACAAAACAAAAGAATAATTACAAGAGATCACTATGGAAACACATACAGGAAGAAGGAACATTGGGCAGCTGATGACCGCTGGGGCAGAGCAGTCACTGTTCTTTAGATGTAGCCTCTGATAGGTGGCCATGCTCCAGGGCATGGATCCATCTCCGCACAAACTGCACAAAGCTCTTTTCTAGTGAGTTGAAAAAAGAGCACATGAAGTTGGAAGGAAAGGTAGTGATGGCAGGTTATGGGAGGAAGGGAAGGGGAGGGAGCTGAAGGTAGATTTGATCAAAACACGTCTATGAGAAATACATGAAGGGATCTCAAACCTATTTCTTTCCTCCTATTTGTCTGATATGGACTGTTTTAATATTCTATTTTATTTGTATTATTGGATTGTCACATTGAATTTGCTTTTGTTTTAGTATTTGCCTTAGAGTTTGTAATGTTTAACCAGAGTATACTTTTATGAGGCTGCAGAGATAACTCAGTGGTGAAGAGCACTTGCTCTTGCAGAGGGCCTAGCTTCAGTTCCCAGCACCCACACACGATGGCTCAAAATTATCTGTAACTCCAATTCTAGGGGATCCAGTGCCTTTTTACAGCTTCCACGGGTATTGCATCCATGTGGTACACATACATCTGTGCAGATGCGTACACACTTACACTGATTGTCACAGTAGTTAGTAGCTTTTTGTTTGTTTTGTTGTTGTTGTAGTTTTTGATTGAATATGGGGTATGGCATGTAATCCAACAGAGCAGGGTCAGACATTTCTATTTGGGGTCTCATAGTGAACATTTTGAATCTTGGGGGCCATGTGTGTCCCTTAAATGTGTTATTTTTGTGTACTTCTTTAAACAAATTTGAACCCAGGCTGAAGTGATGCTTTGTGGTTAAGAACATATGCTGCTCTTTGAGAGGAGTCACGTTTAATTTCTAGCACTCGTGTCAGGTGGCTCACAAACTCCTGTAACTCCAGATTTTAAGGGTATTCAATACCCTCTTCTAGCTTCCAAGGGCACCTGTGCTCACATGCACATACCCACAGACAGACACACATAACTAAATATAAAACACATCTTTAAAAATATTGAAACCAACATACTACATGGCAGGCTATGGAGTACCCCAGGCTTTGGAGCTTGGGCACCCCTTCTGAGGGGTGGCAGGGAGACAACCCCTGAGAACAAGGTGGGGAGACCTTGCATTTCCACTTGGGAATGCCATGCTTCCTGTTCTCGTGGGGTAGCAACTGGGAGCAGGGCTTTGGATTTGTTTTCAGGTTTGCTATATCTGCTAACTGGAGTCAGATTTCTCTAGCCCTTCCTTCAGCTCTGAGGAGGGCTGAATTGCTAGTCTGTAGCTTCGGCTGTTGACCTTCCCTGTCTTAGGGGCTCTCATTCTGTCCTTGGCCCTGGTGTAGTTACCAGGTATTTCTGGGGCTCTGGTGAATCATGGTAGAGGAGTATTCCATTGCTACTGTCTCCTTGTGCCTAGTGTGGGGCTTTCTCTTGTAATATTAGCCTTTTCCTTAGCAGTCACCCTACCCTGTATCTTCACAGCTCTTACCTCTCTTCTAGAATAGGAAGATTCCACTGGTCTGGGTTTAGGATGGCTCTATGTCCCTCCCTCAATGAAGAACAGGTTTTATTTTAGCCTTCCCAAACTACAATCCCCACTTTTGTTCTACAAGACAAGTCACTGGTCTAGGCTAAGGGAGTAGTGTTCAGCCCCACTGACTTTTTGAAAGATCCTCTTGAGTCAGCGTACCACTAAGAAAGAGGTGCTGGCTGTATGCATGACTGAGGACTGTTACAGTCCTCAGCCCGTAGTGTATCCACCAGAGAGGAGTGGTTAGGGTTTATCCTGGTTAAAGATTATAGCTTTGACTTAGGCTATTATTTTGGTCTATTTTTCAGTGGCTATTATAAGCAGGGTTACCAAGTTCTATACCTCCTGAGGGACATCCAAATGGAAAGTAATTAAGTATATTGTGGATCTTATGCCGTGTATGTGGTGGTTTGAATGAGAATGGCCTTCATAGGCTCATACTAGGAGGTGTGACCTTGTTGGAAGAGGTTCATCTATTTATTTATTTATTTATTTATTTATTTATTTATTTATTTATTTATTTATTTATTTATTTAGAAGTTTCTAAAGCTGATGCCAGGGCCAGTTTCTTGTTCTCTGCCTCCATCTTGTGAATAAGAAGCGAGCTCTCAGCTACTGCTCCAGCACCAGGCATGCCTGTCTGCTATGCTTCCCGCCATGGTGATCATGGACTAACGCTCTGAAACTATAGACAACCTTTCTCTTATAAGCAGCCTTGGTTATGGTGTCTCTTCACACTAATAGAATGGTAACAAAGACACTTTAATATTGTCCATCTCAAAGGCCCTGAGAAGACACTGTTTATGTTGTTGCAGAGGGATTTGCCACAGTTGGAGTGAACATGAGAGGTGGTACCTTCTCAAGCAATCATAGAAGCAGACAGTCCAGCAAAACATGGAAAAACCCATATCAGTCATCTCTGCATAACTGTGATTATTGTCTCAAAAGGAAGAAAGGGTTATTTGGCTCATGGTCTGAAATGTTTCAGCCTTCGGTCAGTTCGCCTTGTTGCTCTCCTGTGACAGCAGGATATGTCTGTTTACCACATAGCAGCTCAGAAGCAAGGAGACAAAGGACTAGTGTTCCAGTATCCCCTTCAAGAGCATATCCCTTGTGACTTAACTTTTTCCCATTAAGTACCATACCTTAAAGTGTTCACTACCTTCCAAGAACACCCTAGGCTAACAACTAAGTCTTTCACATGGGAACCTTAGAGGAAACATCCAACCTCTGATATTTCTAATTTAGTAAGTTTTGTTTTAAGATTTATTTTATTTTTGCACACCTTTATTAATTACAGCACTTGGAAGGAGGCAGAGGCAGGTAGATCTCTTTGAGTTTGAGGCCAGCCTGGTCTACAGAATGAGTTCCAGGACAGCCAGGGCTACACAGAGAGCCCTGTCTAAAAAAAAAAAAAAAGTTATTTTATGTGTAGTGATATTTTGCCTTTGTATGTATGTGTATGTATCACATATGTGCCTGGTGCCCATGGAGGTCAGAGAAAGGTATTAGATCCCTTGGAACTGGAGTTATGGATGGTTGTGAACCAATATGTTGGTTCTGGGAATCGAACCTGGGTGCTCTGAAAAGCAAGTGCCCTTAACTGCCGAGTTCTCTCTCTAGCCTCTGGTGTTGTAAATTATACAATCATGGCATTTGAAGAGGGCTGTTTACTAAAGGTGGTGGTCACTGTGTTCAGTCACAGGCATTACGAGGTAGGCTTCTGTTTCTGGGTCAGCCCACAGCTTTCTCATCTTAAAATCAAAGCTTCCTGAAAGAGGCTTTGATTTTAACCAGCCATATCTCCTCTCCCCAGACCCAGATGCAGAAGTGTGCTCTCATGCCTTGCGGCTCATCCAGTCTGTGGTTCTTGAACCAGAAGTCTTCTCCAAGATGGCCTCGGAGCTCCGGAGCTCTTTACCCCTGCAGCGCATCCTGGCCCTGTCCAAGAGCCGCAACTCTCACCTGAAGACTGCTGCCCAGGAGCTCCTGGAAGACCTCCGTCCCCTGGACTGTGGTGTTTAGGTGTGCTTGACCACCAGGGGCTTGGTGAAAATGCCAGTGGTCCTTCCTCTTCCCAGGCCCTCAACTTTGTGTTCAAAGCTAGATGTCACTGTAGGTCATGTGTTAGAGACTGCAGGCCTTGACTGACTATAGAGATGGACAGGATGGGTAAGCATCCTGCCTCTCCCTCCTGGGTGTGACACTTGATAGATAGCTGGTTAATCTTGCCAGAGCAGTGAACACAGCAGGTTACATTCTCCAGAAAGGTCCCCTCTGAACATCAGGGAACTCTTCCAGAGTTTTCTCAGAGTATCTTCTTGCTGCCCTGAGGCTGCCCACACTAGTTTTGTCACTCTAAAGATGGGAGTTTAGATCACCGTTTACCATGTGGTCATTGTTTCCCAAAAGCATTTGTGTGATAACCCATCCTCTTTCTCTGGTAACTATAACCCCACTACACAGGCTTACCTTCGTAATCCTTTGGTGAACCTATTCTTTCACATGGTTTTGGATATTTGAGCTCTGTTTTGGTGCTTCTTTTATTTTTTAATAAAGTTGAGTCAATATTAACTATCACATTCTGAAATATAATCTTGGGGTTAGGAAGTTCGTGTCCTTTGTACATTAATAATGTTATTTGCTTAGCAAAACAACTTTCTTTACTTTGTTCTGGCCCTTTGACTGTGAACTTAAGCAAGTATTCCCATACTTGCAAATGGCCTCAAGATGAGAAATATGAGATTAAATTCCATTAAGTGGTCCGTCTGCCTCTGCAATGTGTGTGTGTGTGTGTGTGTGTGTGTGCGTGCGTGTGTGTGCGTGTAGACTTCTGTTTTGTGCAGCCATCACACTACCTAGCTTATGTTCTAAGATACTGGCAGAGGACAAAAGAGAACATTGCACCTGTCACAGATAGTAAAACTTATGAGATAATTCCTGGACATCTTGAAAGGGAGGAAGTGAATCTGAGCATCCCGAGCCACTTCTCTGTGGTGTTGTGGGGTGACTGCTGCTACTATTACGTCGTCGTCATCGTCATCGTCTTCTTCTTCTTCTTCATCTTCAGAGAATAATGTATTTTATGTTGAATGAAGAACTCAGAGAAAGGCATGCCTACTTGGCTCTCACAAGGCAACCTCTTTGGGAGCACTAACTCAGCAGAGCTGGGGAGATGTAAAAGAGCTTAAGGTTCATGGCAGGGAGACAGATGCAGATCCCTCTGTGCTGGGTGGGTCTGTAGGTCCCAGTTAAGGGTGAATGAGTGCACACTCTAGCACGGCATCCCTTCTTCTTGCTTGCTGCTTATTTAATATCCTAGCAGAGGGAAGCTGTTGTGATTGGTGTGTGCTTCTTCCAGGTTGCTGAGGTTTCTCTACCAAAAAAAGGCCGAGCCTTGTGTAGATAAGAAAAGACTCCTAGGCGGGTGGTGCACGCCTTTAATACCAGCAGAGGCAGAGAGATCTCTGTGAGCCTGGTCTACAGAGTGAGTTCCAGGATAGCCAGGGCTACATAGAGAAACTTTGTCTTGAAAAACCTAACAGAAAAGGAGAAGGCAGAAGAAGGAAAAGGAAGAAGAGGATGAGGAGGGGGAGAAGAAAACAGTAAGAATGATGTAGTTTGGCAGTTATAAGATGCCCATGAGGCTAAGGACTTGATCATTCCTTCCGTTCTGAGGCATGTTATAGGTAAGTGTTGTAAGGCAGATTCTCTTAGAATTGCTATGCACAGGTTTTCTTTGTGAGTATCACACAGAGTACACTGCTCTGCCAGTCACCCTGCTCTTCACTGCAAGACCAAGAGGGAAGCAAGGCTTCCTTAATCTTTTCTGTAACTAGAAACATGTAGAAAACCTACTCAGTTAAACAGTAAAAATATACATTGGGGCATATACCTTGCAGGGACTGAACCCTGTGAATTTAAAAACCAGAGATAAAGCAGTAGTGTAATACATACACATATGTTTAGTTTACCTTTTAAAGGTATTCTTGTATGTGTGGAGCCAAGGAGCTCTTCTTCCCTGGCACCATCAGCTGAAATGAGAAGGTGGGAAACCTGGCAGAAAAAGAGCCAGACTGTACCCACTCCTCCCCCCCAAGCCTCTCTGGCTCTTTTATCAGCACTAGCCTTGGAATCTGCTCTGTCAAGTCTGAAAGGTGATCCTGGAAGATGCACAGAGCCGTGCGAAGTCTGGGGATAGATGGGAGACCTTGACGGTTTATGACTAGGGTAGGCCTGTGTGCAGCAGTACTGAGGACAGGGCTGTGCAGCCCATGTACAGAAGTTAAAGCATAGAATCACAAGTCTGTGGAAAGAAGAAAATCACATCAAGGCTGCAAACCAGCCCATGGCCAAAGAGAAATGTGAAAAGGGTTGTAGGGCGCCGGCTACACCTTCCAGACCTGCTCTTGTGTGCTGTTGTCGAATTATGCTAAGTGGAAGGGCTGGCAAGCATCTTTGCAGACTTTTAATTTCTCAAGAAATTGTGATGTTGACATTTACATCACATCTTCCCATGGCATAGCTGCCTAGAGTGTCCCAGAAGGACTTCTTTAAGCCAGATAACCCTGAGTAAAGATACTGGGGTAGCATAGGATGTAGGGTCAGGCTCAGCATCCTACATAGCACAGTGTATGAGCCCTGAAGATTGTGGGGGTCCACTGAAAGATCCCTGGATACGTTCCCAGTCCAAGCTGGGGTGGGAAAGTCAGGAGACAATTACCATGGCCGGCTTCACAAAGGCCGCAACTGCCACAGCTTCGAGGCTCAGCTGTCACTGCTCCAAACATGTTCACATTTAGATTTATGTGGAGATTTAGGATAAAAGGTTTAAAATGTGCTGTGCAATGAAAACTGTCATTGTGATTAAAAAAAGTTTTAAGGCTGGAGAGATGGCTTAGAGGTTAAGAGCATTGTCTGCTCTTCCAGAGGTTCTGAGTTCAATTCCCAGCAACCACACAGTGGCTCACAACCATCTGTAATGAGATCATCCCTCTTCTGGCATGCAGCCGTCCATGCAGACAGAGCACTCATATACATAAAAATAAATCTTATTCATTTATTTATTTATTTAAAAGTTTCAAAGTTACAAAATAAATTTAACATAAAATCTTACCATTTTAAAGGCAGAATTCAGCGGCAAATCCACTGCCACTGTCTGTTTCTAGGACTTTATCTTCATCTCAGATAGAAAGACCCAGCAAATCACTCCCCCATTCCCCAAGCCTCTTTCTCCTAGTTTAGCATTCCTGTTTTTGTGTCTGTGGATTTAGCTGAGACACTTGACCTGCTTGGTCTGGCTTATTTATACTCTGCATAATGTCAGGGTTCATGTATGTTTAGCCTGTGTCAGAGCTTCATTGTTTCAATGGCTATAGAGCCATGTTTATATGACCACAGAGTATTTCACCATTTGTTGTTGAACATTTGGGTTCATTCCACTTTTTAGCTAGTAGTGAATAAGTCTGCCAAGAACATATGTGCACAAAGATCTCCAGAGATTCTTTGGGACCATGTGGTAACACTATGCTTAACTTTTTTCTTTGCATATGTGTGTGTGTGGTTGCACATGCACTGTGTTCGTGTGTGTGTATGTAGGTGTGAGTTTGGAGGCCTGAAGTTGATGTCGGGTATCTTCCTTAGTCCATCTCCGCTGTATATACTGAGGCAGGATCCCTCACCAAACCTGAAGTTTGCCTTTTCCAGCTAGTCTAGCGAGTCAGCTTGCCCCGGGCATCCTCTGTCTCTACCTGCTGAGTAATAAGGATTAGAGGTAGCTGCCACACCCACTTGGCTTTTACCTGAGATCTAAGAATCCAGGATCTGGTCTTCACACTCTCATGGCAAATTTTTATCCACTGATCCATCTTCCTAGACCATATTTAACTTTTCGATGAACTTCCAAAATGCTATCCACAGCAGCGGCACCACAGCCCCTCTTCTCAGCAGCAGCAGTGCAGGGAGTCCTCATCTCCCCCTCCTTGTCAACACTTTTCCTGTCCTACCGATAGTCCACTGATGGTAGCTGCCTTGAAGCAGGTCTCGCTGTAGTTTTGTTTTCATCCCTGATGGTGAGTGCTACCTGGAATGGCCACTGCCTGCTGTGGAGAGCGGTCTGTTGAGGCTCTAGAGACATTTTCTGAGTTGCACTATTGCTTTTTGTTACAGAGCTGCAGGAGTTTTCACATATTCAAGATCCCTTACCGAACGAAGGGCTTGTCAGTGCTCACTGTCATTTTGCGGGTGTCTTCACTGTGTGTCCTCTGACGTGGAGTTGTTCATTCTGATCACATCCCGCTTATATTTCTTTCTGTCTCACTCTCAGTGTCATCCATAAGAAATTGCCATGTCTGCAGTCATGAAGGCAGCCCTCCCTTGTTTTTCATTTACTTTTTATGGTTTTTAGCTCTTAGAGCCTTTTTTTTTTTTTTTTTTTTTAGATGAGGGTCTCACTGTATTGCTTGGAGCTCCTGGACTTAAGCAGTCCTCCTGCCTCAGTCTTTTGTGTCGCTGAGGAACCTGCCACTGCGCCCAGCTCATCCATTTTTACATATGGTATAAGGCAAAGGTCTGAGTATGTGGATATCCAGTTTTTCAAATACCACTTGTTCAGTTTTATAATTGTCATTTTATTTTATTTTTTTATAATTTTTATTTTTTATATTAATCACAGTTTATTTACTTTGTATCCCAGCCGTAGCCCCCTCTCTCTTTCCCTCCCAATTCCACCCTCCTTCACTCCCTCCCTCTCTTCCTCCCTCCCTTTCTCCCTCCCTCCCTCCCTCATTTCCTCCCTGCCCCTTTCCAAGTCCACTGATAGGGGAGGTCCTCCTCCCCTTCCATCTGACCCTAGCTTATCAGGTATCTTCAGGACTGGCTGCAATGTCCTCTTCTGTGGCCTAGCAAGGCTGCTCCTCCCTCGGGTGGGGGGGGGGGTGTCAAAGAGCCAGCCATTGAGTTCATGTCAGAAATAGTCCGTTTCCCTTACTAGGGTACCCACTTGGATACTGAGCTACCATGGGCCACATCTGAGCAGGTGTTCTAGGTTATATCCACATATGGTCCTTGGTTGGAGAAACAGTCTTATAAAAGACCCCTGTGCCCTGATTTATTTGGTCCTTGTGGAGCTCCTGTCCTCTCCAGGAAATACTAACTCCCCCTTCTTTCAAATGAGTCCCTGCACTCTGCCAAAGGTTTGGTTATGAGTCTCAAATAATTGCCATTTTTACATGTCATCACAAATGTGATTTTCAGAAAGTGACGTGTACTTTGCTTTCTGTTTTTTTGTTTTGTTTTTTAACACGTTAGCTTCATGCATAGCCCTTGTTATAAGGACTGTAGATTGTGCCCAGAGTGGCTTTCTGACTGGCCTCTTGCTCCTCACAAAGGTGTCTAGAACATACCTGGCACAGTTTCTGGCAGCTGAAAAAGTGACACCTGCTCACGTAATCAAATGTGGTTTTCAGTTGAGGACATTTTTTATAGCTCTAGCTTTATGCAGAATGTGAATGTCCATGAAGAACATTCCAGGCAGCAAGAAGAGACAGAAGGCCAAAGA